GAGAGCCTGATGCGGGGCTCGATCCCAGGACCCTGGAATCATGACCTGAGCCGAAGGCAGAGGCTTAACCCACTGAGCCACTCAGGCGCCCCCACCACAATTTTTTGTACACACATTAGCATACTATTTGTTGAGATTATGATGGCAAAGATTTTTAAGGGTAAGAGGTGGGAAAGGTACTAGATAAGCCAGATCCTTGAGACACATTTTTTTTACTTGTTCTCCCAACAACCAGGGATTCACACCACCAAGACCACCTGCCCACTGGCCCAACTCTGCCCCCAGAATCTCCCTCCCTGGTGTCAGGATGTGGTTTCACCCTCTCTGAAAATTTTACGGGAAAAAGGTCATGTGGATCCTTGAACTTAGAAGGTTTCTTAGGAATATTTTAAGGAGGTTGCCATTTATTTCTCTCTTCTTTTTTTAAATTTTTTTTTATTTATTCATTTGAGAGGGAGAGAGACAGAGAGAGTACAAGCAAGGGGAGAAGCAGAGGGAGAGGGAGAAGCAGACTCCCCACTGAGCTGGGAGCCTGACATGGGACTCCATCTGAGGAACCCAAGATCATGACCTGAGCTGAAGGCAGACGCTCAACCATCTGAGCCACCCAGGTGTCCCTATTTCTCCCTTCTTAAAATACTATCTGCTCTTGGAAACCTTGATATCAACTCACCCGTTTTGTTTTTTCTTCCTACCTCTCTGCCTCTTTTCCAGTTCTCAGAGCTGCTTCTCCTCCTCTTCTGCCTCTGAATGTTGAGGTCCTCAGCGCTTAGTCTTAGATCTTTGGCCATCTTTTTTTTCCCCTCGTTCTCTCTGGTATCCTCCATTCCTGTTGCATTAAATAACCTCTGTGTGATGACAATTCTTAAACTTATGTCTCTAACCATGATCTCCTTTCTGAGATCCAGATCCTCATATCCACGTGCCTTCTTGATATTTCTACATGGAGCTCTCTGTCTCTTCTAAATAAAACTTTGGAGCTAAACTCTTAAATTTTCTCCCCAGAATTCATCTTTATTTCTAAGCTTCATCTCAGTAAGTGGTACTTTGATCTCACCAGTTGCCCAAGTCAGAAACTTAGAAGTCATCCATGACAACTCGCCTTTCTAAACTTACCACTACCATCACTAAGTTCTAACAATACAACACAATGTATATACAGGTCAATTCAATCTATCCCAGGATCACATCTACCTCTTCCACATGCATTGCCATTTTCTGGCCATGCCACCATCATCTCTCACCTGTACTACTGCAAGAGTACCACCTTACCAATCTATTCTTCCCAGAGCTGAAGAAAGTGAACTTTTAAAAGTATAAACCCAATCAAGCTAATGCCAAGGGTAAAATCTTTTGACAGCTCTCAGGATATAATATTATCTAAGGCTTTGCAGAATTTTGATGTGGTCTCTTCCCTTTTCTCAGGTCCCATCTTGGCCCATTCTTCTCACACTGGACACATGACAGGCTCTTCCATCACCTCCAATATTCCCCCTATTAATAGTTAACATCTCAGGCTGCTACTTAAATGTTACATCCCTAAAGACAAATTTTTCTACTCCTCCAAACTTAATTAGGCTCCTCTTATTATTCTTCCTTATAGTAACCCATACCTTTCCTTTGAAAAACATACCAAGGCTTTATACTTGTGTGAATTTAATGAATTTTCTCTCCCACTAGTCTAAAAATGCATTGAGGGCAGACATCTATCATTATCTATTTTGTACACCAATATATACAGAGTCTAGGAGAGTGCCTAGACATAACTACTGTTTGATAAATATTTGAAATATCTTTATCAGCTCTTCACATTGATAACATATTTTCCTACACAATAGCTGTGTTAGAAAATAAAAATATCAAATTTCTTGTCCTTTCATGGAATCGTATCAATTCAGTTTAATGCCATAGTTTACTTTTGCTGATCACAAGCTTTAGCTTTATTAATAATAAATTTTTAGGGGAAATGTTTTTATCATCACAAATGCACTTTAGGAAATAAAGACATTTCAAATGTTCACAAGGAAAACAATAGGAAGGTGAAGGTCTTTGCAATTTATTTTTAAGTTGAGAATTGACTTCCGGTTCAAGAGGGTAGATTGAACAAATACATTTACACCCGCTCCTGCAAAGATCCAATTGAAATGACAATGATTACTGCAAAAAAAAAAAAAAAAAGAGAGAGAGAGAGAGAGAGAGAGAGAGAGAATACATTTATAGCAGCCTCAAGAGGAAGGAGTGACATTACCAGAGCAAGGATTTGAATGATTTCTAGAAAATAGAAAGCAGGTGATATTTTGCAGATGGAATAAGGGGAGGTGGGGAGACAGGCTGCAGTCAAAAATGTACAGAGGCGGCGGCGGTGGATGTGGAAGCCGTTCTTCCTAGCCCAGCTCCAGCAAAGCTCCAAACCCAATCACAGTGGGAAGGGGGCAGAAAGCAGCTGATCAAAGGAATAGCTACAGAGCAGCTGCACTCCACCCCACCTCCACCCCACTCCCCCACCCCCAAGCCACTCGTCTCAGCGGGCATGTACAAAGCCACTGGCAGCGGGAGCAATTTCCCCTCAAGACCAAAATCAAAGAAATACTCTCTAAACAAATTGAACCATAAGCCTGGAAAGGGCTGGGTTCCTAGTGTGCATGTGGATATCACAGAATTAGTTATTTCTTAATCAGCCCAGGAGAGGGGCCGGCTTCGCTCTACACTTCCTGCTCACACTTTCCAACTGACACACCCACCCACAAACTGTGTACTCAGTCAGCCTTCCAATTTAGGAGAGAGCCCTGTGGGGCAAACCACCTTGGGTAACATACCAGCAACCTATCTTCATCCACTGAATTCTTCATTTAGTGCTTATTATACACAAAAGACAAGTTATGCAGTATTATTCCAGGCACTGTATCAATATTTCTGGACTGAGTGAACCAATTAACACAAGATAAAATAAATGTTTCAAAGAAATTGTTGCCTAGTAATGGACTTCTAATCATCACTCTCCTAAAACTTTATTTTGCAGTTGGCAAAACATGCAGTATTTCATGTTTAGTACCTGCTCCTTTCCATGATTTCAGCAACCTTACTTTCTCCTTCTTTGTCTGATTCTTTCTCATTTTGTTCTCCAACCCTACTTCCTCTTTTCCTCTTTCTTTATAGCAACAGTGGAGATTCCTACAAAGAATAAGCATGAATGTACTCTCTCTCTCTCTCCCACTCCTTTTCTGTAGGTACATGTGGGTCCACCCTACTCGTCCATTCTGTAGGAATTTGTTCTCATTTTGCCATCTGCCTGAGCTCCTCTGAGCTTTGCCCCATCTTCTGGGCATTTCCACTCAGATGTCTCTTGTGCATTTGAGAACTGTCACCTGCTGTCTGCAAGATGGTGATGTCTCACAGTAATGTCATCTTCTTACACTCACTTACATGAGATTTTGACTCCTATCAAATTAACTTCTCCCCTTTCTTTTCTCTACCCAGCCAGTCTCTTGGACCTATCACTCCATCATGGAAATATCATGTAATTTAAAGTTAGCCTAATCGAACAGACATATTTGAGGTGGTATATAGACAACACATGTAACAAAATGGTTTATTATTTTTAAAAAATCAAAACTGCAGAAAATAGAAATGAAAATACAAATACAGTATCAGGGAGGAATAAAATACAGCTAGGTAGACCCTAAAAGCATATATAATTGTTCTAAGTTAGTAAAAATTTGGTGTTGAACAATCTGGTGAAGAAAACGAAATAGGAGACATACATTCCATTGCTCTCGATGTCCAAAATATGAACATTGCTTTTGTAAGGTGATGGGCTGTTGAAGAGGCTCAATAAGTAGCAACCTTCTTTCTACTCAGGTTTTATAGCAACTGAGACATTAGAAGAAAAGAGCAAAGGTTAAGCCAGTGAAGCTAAAATAACAACATTATCATTGACAGAGCTGATGCTTGACAGCGTGACTTAAATCTGTAGACAAGTAAGCTTAAACACTGAACCCGGGGCTGGACAGAATCTCTCAGCAGATATTTGCCCAGTGGCCTCCAGTGGAGGCAGGGACTACCCCTTTGCTATTCTACTTCCAGAATAGCAGAGGGCAATTGAGGGCACATTTTGTGGACAGACTCACTTCCAAAAAGGAGAGTTAGAGAATGAGCTACACTTGCCCAGTTCTTCTTTCCCAAATCACCAACCTGATTTGTCCATTCCTCCCTAGGATACCAGCAAGTTAGGGGCAAAGAGATATGAGTAGTGTCTCACTTTGCATCTCCCTCCACATGGAATCAGGAGCAGGGGAGAAAAGTTCTTGTCCCTGACAGAAGGGTCACTGAGGGGAGTGGCAGCTGAGGCGTTTGTCAACATCCCTGCAGTGATTGTAGGAATGAGTTTACTACGACTGATGTGTGTAAGAATTTCTAATTGAAAGCCTTGATTGTAACACAAAAATCCAACTCAGTGAAAGCAGCTCTGACAGAGACCTCAACAATAAAAGCAGAGAATGCAGATTTTCAACAAGAAACCTTTATTATGCACACCTCTGATAAATATAACCTTCAATAGTTGATTTCTTTCCTCAGATATCGAGAATGAACTACTCATTAGCCTTAGAATTAATAGCTTCCAATTCAACTCATCCTACTACTATATACCCTTTCTGTACATAGGCTTGCTAACGAGCTGTGTCATTGTCCCATGAACACTAAATACTTGTGTGTCATTGTTTATATTGTTCCTATCTGAAAGGTCTTTTTCAAAATTTTTAAATGTTAGCTATCTTTCAAAGAAATTCTGAATTGCCTTCTTCATGAAACATCCCTGTACTCCCAAGCATTGTTTTTCGGTCTTTTCACTTCTTAGTTCATTAGAAAGTCTGTATCAAAATTCTGCTCATATATTTGAGTTAGTGTTGGTCATTCTCATTTTATGTGTACTAGCATGTGTATTTACCCAGACTCTACGCTCAATTTTTTTTCTCAACCAAAAGCTCTCACGTTTACTACAAGCATAGAGGCATAGTAACAGAGAAAAGGTATTTCCCTGAAAAAACATGTCTATTGGCCAGGTAGGAGGAATGCTGACAGAGTGATAGAATAGGAACATGGGATCTTCGTGCCGCTTAAATATGTGTGCCAATTATGTGTGCCATCTCGTGATATGCGATGCCTTATAGACCCAGCTTTGTTCTTCTCCAGTGACTCCTCTTGGAGTTGTACCTGATTTTGTTATCAGTTTTCATCCAAATCCACTGGGGAATGGGACGATTCTGCTTTTGTTTCTTGGCCAGAAACTGTTTGATTCTGAAAGTCTTGTGAGAACACATGGTAAGGAACAGTCAACCACACACACCAAGATGGCAGCAAGAAGGAGAAAAGGACTCTATATTCTTTAAAAGGTAGAGAGATACTTTGAACTTTTCTGTGTTAGCTGTATCTATCACAGGGCTGAGTATATAGTAGGTAATTAATAAATATTTGTTGAATTAAAATCATTCAATCGAATTAAGAATATAGCAGAAAGGAGATACAAAATAAGTTGAGAAGTCAGCTGCTCCAAAGGTCCAAACTGAGTATAATCTTTAAAAAGAGTCCATTGAGGGACACTTGGGGGGCTTAGTCGTTTAAGCCTCTGCCTTTGGCTCAGGTCATGATCTCAGGATCCTAGGACTGAGTCCCGCATAGAGCTTCTTGCTCAGTGGGGAACTTGCTTCTTCCTTCTCCCTGCCATTCCCCCTGCTTGTGCTCTTGTGCTCTCTCTGACAAATAAATAAATACAATCTTTGAAAAAAATCGTTTGTTAATCCTATAAGACAATCAGGACTATTCAGTTGGTTTGCATAATATTCTTCTATGTATGTTGCTCCTGTTTCCCTGTATAAAATGATACCTGTGCCCAGACAATGAGGAGACCACCTAGAATAAGATGGCTGTAGTCAAGCCATAACGTATGTGAATTTTGGTATTAGATTTAGATCTGAAGTCCAACTCTTACCTGTTGTGTACCCGTTCTTTCAATTTTGGAAATTTTTAGTCCCTTAGTAAATTTGAAAGAAAAGTACAATAAACACAGTTAATAGTTTGCCATACTGATAATGTAGAGAGAGGTACAGATACACACAAACACAGACCAAACACTGCCCTTTGGCCAAACCAGCCAAAAATAGGCTGCAGACCTTGTGACTCTTGGGAACATAAACTATAGAACCCTGAACAAGTTACTTCAACCTCTCTAAGTCTTGGTTTCCTCAGACATAAAAAATGGGGAGGAAGTAATAGTTATGCATTCTTAATAGAGTCATTGTGAGGATTCCTTTTTTTTAAAATAGCTATTGTTGAGCACCTGGGTGGCTCAGTTAAGTGTCTGCCTTTGGCTCAGGGTCCTAAGATTGAGTCCCACATTGGGCTTCCTGCTCAGGGGGGAACCTGCCTGTCGCTCTCCCTCTGCCTGCCACTCCCCCTGCCTGCCACTCCCCTTGCTTATCTCTGCCAAATGGATAAATAAAATCTTTTTGAAAAAATACATTTGAGTACCTAAAAGACTTTAAGAAGCTCAGATTGAATGGCATTAGTGACTGCCTACTAATAAAAATTTGTATGTGTCACAATATTTGGTCTGAGATTTGCTTTCATTATAATATCCTACATGTTACTAGAACTGCAGACAGAATTCTCAGTAACTATTAATTACAGTCTAGTACTTCCCTTACTTGTAATTATTCATTTAATCACCCTGTCCAAAATAATAATAATAATAATAATAATAATATTTGCCTTGCCCACTGGGTAACTAAGATCCATGAAGGTAGAACTATAACTTATTCACCATTGTACCCATAGCAAGAAGCATAGGGTCTGTGTGAGGCCACAAGTTAAAAAACAGTGCTTTAATCTTTATCTAAAAGGGTCATTGCCATTCCTTGTTGAATACTTAAACAATATGATTTTAATGATTATTAAGGTGTAATTTGTGTTTATTATTATATAACATATGTTTTAAAGAGACAAAGAGGAAGTAAAATTCACACTTAATCCCACTGCCCAGAAGTAACCCCTCAATTAATATCTTTTGCATATTCTTTCAAACTTTACTAAAATATAAGCTTTATAGATATATATCTACATGTATATTTATTAAATGGGACTTATCTTGTCAAATACACAAATACAAATCATATAGCCCCTTCTTTACCCCTCATGTGTTGTAAAATTTGCAGCTTACTTGCTTCTTCATGATTTGCCAGACTGTAAGCAAATGAAAGGCAGAAAACCTGTGTCTTACCTGCTTTGGAATTCCTTGGGACCCAGCACATGGTGCTTATATGACTGTTACTATCAAATAAAAATTTGATCCATTAAAACTTAAAAACCAGTTACAGATTCATAATTAACACTTTGGAAAGACTACTTCCTACAGGTTGTGCCATAATCCTTCTCATGAACTAAAACCTCCACATATTTTGAGAACTTGTTTTGGATGAAAGAAAAACTGTAAAATTTAGACTCCAAGATTATGAGACTTCTCTTTTTATTGGAATTTCATTTGAGAGTTCATTGGGATTTTTACATACTTAAAAATAAAAAGCAGGCTTCTGAGAATATGAGTTTGTGCCACCCCACCGCAGAGCATAGTAATTATTGAGTATAATAGGAAAGTTAATTTCAAAGAAAATATTTTTATTTTAGAGGCTAATGGAGATGATTGTTTTATAGGAACTGATGATACTATAAATTTTCAAATTAAAATACTTTAGTACTTTTACTGAAGTTTTCAATCTGCCATTTGAAATAAGCTGGCTTGATTCCTGGAAAGAGGTCTACTATGTATTTATTCAGCCGCATAAGTGCTGGACCATATCAGAAAACTCTGTCCCTCCCCTCATTTTGGTTTAGATTAGCTCACTTTGTTGGGTGGCTTGATGGTGGCTTGGGAATATATGTATTTTGGGTACCTGGGTGGCTCAGTCAGTTAAATGGCTGCCTTTGGCTCAGGTCATGATCTCAGGTTACTGGGATTGAGCCCCTCATGGGACTCCCTGCTCATTGGGGAGTCTGCTTCTCCCTCTCCCTCTACCCCTCTCCCCTGCTCATGCTCTCTCTTGAGCTCCCTCTCTCTCTCAAATAAATGAAATCTTCAAAATAATACCTGCTTTTATTTCCTTTTTTATAAGTGTAGTTCAAGCCTCTCTGTATGATCCTTAGTTTCATCCAATAATCTCCCTTGTCTTTCTATCTTCAGATGTTCATTTTCATCCTTTTTGTTATCCATGATGTCATTTTATCCAATAAGTACTCACCCAAACCACTACTAAAGACCCATAGTTGGGCAGAGCATGCTAAGGCTTTCTGTGATGTAACTGACAACAGGTTTTCTTTTATATCTACTTTTGATCCTATGTACCCATTTTTTTAGAGAAATGAAATACTTGGTAGATACAAAAGAATATATGTAAGTTAAATGCAAAATCATAAAACAAATATTGAATATATTTTTACTTTTAAAATCTTTGTTCCAGATTAACAGACAATATTATCATTAAAATGTTAATGAAACAGTGAGATAGATGATAGATAGATAGATAGATGATAGATAGATAGATAGTTAGATAGATGTTATTTATCTAACAGGTACTCACCCAAATAACTAAACACTCAAAATGATATGATAAAGGTTACTTGTGAGGTGTGTGTATTAGATTTAATAGATTTCTGCTTCCAACAGATCAGACGGTCCCAGGAAACATTCCTCTACAGAACAATTGAACTTTGAAAACCACGAATATTTCAAATATTGCTAGCCTCATAGGAATAAGAACATTTTCCAAAACACACTCTCTTTTAAAAAGTCACATGGGCTGGAATTGATTTCAAACATCCAGGAGAAAGATAGTTCCTGGAGGGCATCTTTATATAATCTCAGTGCTGTCTGGAAGTTCAGCCTTAAACCAGCCATTTGCCAATATGAGTCTTGAAACAAGGACCTGGATCTCGCATATGGAACCTAGGTAGTCACGGGTTGGGGGTGGGGTACCACCAGCAGAAAAAAGTAGAAATCCTCTACAGAACATTTTCTCAAATTTTCACCTTAAGCACAAGGGATTAAGCAAGAAATTCACAATATTTGTTGCTGAACATACTTGAAAGCAAGCCACTATTGACTAAAAAAAAGAGGAAACAACAGATCTAGGGTGATAGAGACTATAATTGTAGCTATAAAATGCAGAACTACATACAAAGTGATTAAGGAAACAGATAAGTCAGAGATTATCTATTAAAAAGTGATTGCAAAGGATGGACGATATAGTTGTAATAAAATATACAGAGGAGAGAGACAAGATGGCAGAGGAGTAGCAGACTGAAATGATATCAGGTCACAGGAGTTCAGCTAGATAGTTATCAAACCAATCAGAACACCTGCAAACTCAACAGGAGATCAAAGAGAAGAAGAGCAGCAATTCTAGGAACAGAAAATCGACCACTTTCTGAAAGGTAGGACATGCAGAGCAGTGAATCTGAGGCAATGGGAAGATAGACTGCAGGGGGAGGGGCCAGCTCCCAGCAAGCAGGGCAGCAACAGAGCACAAAATCAGAACATTTTGAAGTCTGCTCCACTAAGGGGCATCACTCCAAAGGCTAAAGCAGGAGTGGAACCCTCAAAAGAACAGTGTGGTCTCAGGTCCTGTGAGGTCACTGAAAGATCGGGGGGTGTCTGAGTGTGGCAGAACCCAATGGTATCAGAGTGGGGAAGCTGACTACAGAGACAGAGCTGAGGAGTGAGCTGTCAGCTTGGGGTTACCTTAACTGTGATCTGAGGCACAGTCAGACCACTGCTCTTTGAGCAGGGACCCCACAAGTGGCAGATCCAGGGAGACTCACCTTCCTCCTCTGGAGGCAGGAACCTGCTGGGTTTGGAGACTCCAAAAGGGGCCATGCATCAGAGACAGAAACACTCAGTCACAGGCCAGGTGAGTTCAGAATGATGATTCTCAGGTGCTAGCTGGAGTCGAAAAAGGCCTGGAGGGCATTAAAGAAACCCTGTCTGGAGAAATAAAATCTATTTCTGGAGAAATAAAAGAACTAAAATCTAACCAAGCTAAAATCACAAAAAAGAATTAATGAGGTGCAATCAAGAATGGAGGCACTTACTGCTAAGATAAATGAGGCAGAAGAGAGAATTAGTGATAAAGAAGACCAAAGGATGGAGAATAAAGAAAGTGAGCAAAAGAGAGACAAACAACTACTGGACCACGAAGGGAGAATTTGAGAGAGAAGTGATACCATAAGACAAAACAAAATTAGAATAATTGGGATTCCAGAAGAACAAAAA